ATATATATGGAGCAACCTGAAGGATTCCGAGCTCCAGACCAATAAGACTTGGTATGTCGGTTGAAAAAGAGCCTCTATGGCTTGAAGCAAGCACCTCGGCTGTGGTACAAGAAGTTTGAATCATTCATGACTGATCATAAGTTTGAGAAGACAGAAGCCGACCACTGTGTATTTGTGAAGAGGTATGAGGCTGGAGATTTTCTGATTTTGTTGTTATATGTTGACAACATGCTTATTGTAGGGAAAAACAAATTGAGGATAGCCGCCCTGAAGAAGGCGTTGAGCTCGTCCTTTGCAATGAAGGACCTCGGCCCTGCAAAGCAGATTCTTGGAATCAAGATTATCCGAGATAGACAAAAGAAGCTACTGTGGCTGAGTCAAGAGAAGTACATTGAGAAGATATTGAAGAGATTCAGCATGGACAAAGCCAAAACAGTGAGCACCCCCTAGCCGGACACATAAAGTTGAACCAGAAGCAATGTCCGAGATCTGATGAAGACAAAGATGAGATGATGAAGGTCCCTTACCAATCCGTTGTCGGAAGCTTGATGTATGCAATGGTTTGCACTAACCCGACTTGGCGTATGCTGTTGGAATGGTAAGCCGGTATTTGTCAAATCCCGGCAAAGAGCACTGGGAAGCAGTGAAGTGGATCTTCAAGTACCTCCGAGGTACGACCGACTTATGTCTCCAATTTGGAGAAGGCAAAGCCGAGTTGCAAGGCTACTCGGATTCTGATTTAGGGGGAGATTCCGACTCGAGGAAATCGACGACGGGATACATGATGAGATTTGCCGGAGGAGCTGTCTCTTGGCAATCAAGACTTCAGAAGTGTGTTCCACTATCGACAACTGAGGCTGAGTACATTGCCGCTACTGAGGCAAGTAAAGAGATGTTGTGGATGAAGAAGTTCCTCATGGAACTCGGCCATGATCAAGACAAATACGATCTGGGTTGTGACAATCAAAGTGGAATCCATCTTGCAAAGAATTCAACCTATCACTCCCGCACTAAGCATATTGATGTGAGGTATCACTGGATCCAGGATGTGGTGGAAGATGGAGAGCTCGAACTCGTCAAGGTGTACACTGACCAAAATTGGTCCGACATGATGACAAAGTCGGTTCCAGCAAGGAAATTTGAAGACTGCTGTGAAGGAGCCGAGTTGATACTGAAGCCGACGCATTGAAGTCGGAGGGGGAGATTTGTTGGGCTTCCTCCTTCAATGCTAAGCCCAAGCCCATTGAGGGGTTTTCCTAAAAACCCTAACCCTAGATCTCACCTCCTCCTCTATATTCATTAGTTGTGAGTGGAGGCTAGGTTAAGAGATTAGAGAGAAATTTTGGGAGATAATTATTTGATTGTTTGAGCAAAGCTTCATGCTTTGCATTTGAGAGATCTCTAGAGAGAGTTTGAGTGAAACATCTCTAGGGTAGTTTGATTATCACCATTGTTGGAGAGGTTGAGTTAACCACCACATTGGTGTACTCTGATTATTTTGTAACCATTATTTTCATAGTGAATTTTTGATCTGGACTAGGTCCCGTGGATTTTTACTTCTTCATTGAAGAAGGTTTTCTCATGTTAAATCTGGTTGAGTTCTTCTCTCTCTCTCTCTCTCTCTCTCTCTCCTGTTTTGTGATTTTTTGTTTTGATTTTTCCGCTGCGCTGCCTGACCTGGTGAAGTTCTGGCCGAGGTATTGCCGAGATCCGAGATCAGGATCTTGTTGATTGACTTCCGCACAAAGGCTGCTTAGCCGAGCTTGAGGGAACCGAGTTTTCCCAACAAAACATTCTTTAGGAATTCATTTGTCTTCATATATAGATAACATTTGTCATAAATAAAATTGTTATTCTTTATTTTTTTAGGAAGTACTAAGATAAAAAAAATTTGGATATCAAAAAAATTTAATGACAAATAAAATACTACCTAATTGTAAAAAAAAAATTATAACTCGACGGGTCCACCTGCCTCGCGGCAGGTTGAATCCGTTTTGACCCATTCCTATATGGGACGGGTTGAAGTGGATTGATGGATTGAAAATCTCTACCCAACCCGATCCGTCTTAGCGGGTTGATCCGTCGGGCTCAACTCATATTACCATATTTAGACGGACACCCTCTTCATGGCAATTATCCACGTTAGAATTGCGGTGGATAATCAAGAAGATTCAATAGAAAAAATATTATGTTTAGCGACCAAATATTTCGATCGAAAACTAATGATTGAGTTTTTGATCGAAAAGTAGAAGTCTTACAAACGTGGATATTTAAATGAGGTAGTCAAATTTGAAATTTGACATCATCTGAGAGTCGTTAGATCAAAAAAGATCAACGATTCTGATTTGTAAGCATGTGACATTATTGGTATTTTTTGATTTAATGACTCTCAATTAAGTGTCAAATTTTTGACACTAATATTAAAGAATCCTTCCTCTATTTAAATAGCGGGTTCAAATTTCAATCCCAAAAGCTAACAATTGTTATTTTATCATTTCATGCATGTTAATCTTTCAGTCCCAACAACACTTATCGAGAACGACGAAGACGAGAGCTTTGGTCATTAGTCTCATTGAAAAATGAATAATCTGATACACTAATAACCAATACAACATAAAGGAGAAAGAAAGCTATCTAAGCTTAACTGAAACTAAGCTAATCGGTACAACATAATCCAAAACTGACTAACTATTTTCTAACTTCTCCAACCGTACGATCGTGGTTTTGCCCACGTGAATTAATTACATTAGCATTGAGAACATCAGCATTTACATAAGAATATCTTTAATGTTACGGATATATCGGGTTTTTGATGTATATTTCACTTGTAATATGATTCGTGTTTTATTTTTGTCAAATTATTAATAAATAATTTATTTTAAAATTAAGTGAAAAACTAATTTGATAAAGTATAAGATACGTGCCACGAATGGAAGATACAATGCATCCGTAGCATTTAAGAAAATTTCCATTTACATGAGCTGACATGGCAGACTTGTGTCAAGAAGTAGCTGATGTGGCAAAATATTTTGTCAGTAGAGCGATATTTAATTCTTTATTTGACATCTGCCTCTTTTTCTGTCTTTATTTTTTACGGATTATTTTCAGTTGAAAAAGTCTATGGGTGTTGGTTATTTTTCTAGTAGTGTATCGGTATGTAAATATGTTTGTAGTATCCGGAGAACATCCTATTTATATTCTGAAATTTTTTAAAACTGATATTAAGAAATTTCATCATGTACCAATTCAACTATGCCCAAACAATGTTTTTGTTTTTAATCTAGACCGGAAACTCTATGGGGGAACAAGTTCCTTGTCAATTTAATTAATGGTTGTTGCTGTATAGAAGGTGTATCGAATTAAGATTTTAAAGAATTATTTTTGAATAAAAATTTATTGATAATCAATTAGAATTTTTAAGTAATTTAAAAAAGTAATATGATATTCAATCATGATAATTAAGTTTTTTTCTAAGGTATCCAAATCTAATGATATTCAAATAAGATTTAAAACAGGGAATAAAAACTCTTTTGGTAAAACTCGATAATTTTAATAAATTTTTTTATTAATGTGAATTTCGTACAATTTTTTGTAAGTATAAATATTATGTCTTTCCTTGTAACCTCACCCTAGCCTTTGAAATTTCTTTGTTGCTTTGTTTTTTTTTTTTTTTTTATAACATTGTTGCTTTGTTTTTCTCAAACCTAAGGTATGTTTTTTGTGTGTTTTTTATTTATTTCTTTTTCATGTTTTAATTTATTATCATTCTCCAATAATTAATGTCATTTTCAATGTCTGGAAATGCTGTTTTTTTTCCCTTGTCTAAAATAAGTGCAGAAGTTATATATATATTTTATTTCGAATCCCCTTCTTCGTTGCTAGATATGTTATTTTTAGAATATTTAAAAGAAATATGTTTAATTCATAAAATTAAAATTAAAATAAATATTGAAAACTTTTATTGAAGCCTTTTATAAAAAATTAGGGAATAAAATTTCAAGTCATGTAAGATAATCATAATTGTCCATAAATAAATTAACTGTTATTTCTCTCTCATTTTCACTAAAAATATCAAATAACTAGGGATGTTAACGGGTCGAGTCGGGTCAGACTTTGATATTAAAAAGTTAATTTTGTGTTTAAATATGTCAGTCTGGCATATGCTATTACCTATTATGAATATAATTATCGGCCCGTGGTCTGACTTATTTACAAAAAATAAAAACCTGGTTTAGCCTGTTAAAAAAAATAAGACAATAAAAATTATCCAAATAAAATATAAGATCAACAACGCTAATAATTTCACAAAGATTCATAAATTCAACCTATATCCAAATAACATAATATAGAACAAATTATTCAATGAGTCTGTTTAACCAATAAAATGGAGTGCAATGGGTTGAGGAGAGAGCGAGAGCTATTATAAGTAATATAAAAAATATAAAATAAAAATAAAAATCAGTATACTAAGCTAACCTAGTAGGCTCTAAGTCTGAACTTTTAAATTGAAGATTAAGATCTTTTTATTAAATAAAATTTTATATATATCCAAACCTAGTTCGAAGAACTTTTAATTAGATTTTTTTCTTGAGGTACTTTACTCAGGAAACACCTGATCCAGCTCGAACTCTCTTTTTTTTTTTTTAATTACTAGCTCGAACTCCTTTTAACCCATGGGTCAATAGGTTAGGCACGAGAAAAAAGAAAAAGAAAAATTCAAATGAGCTGCCAAAAAAATGAGCATTTAAGCTTTGGTTCCTTTGATAGTTGATCTAAGCCCAGTATTTGGGAAACGAGTTATTGGGCTAGATTGATATCACAGGCCCAGACTGTTTTTCGGCTATATTGGCTTGCAGTCCATTTTGACTAATGTATGTACTTTGTACAAGAGCAAAGCGCAAATGAACATTCTCTGCGTTTTGGAGAGAGGGATTGAGATTGGACTATGAACAGTGCTGGATAAAGAGGGATTGAGATTGGACTATGAACAGTGCTGGATAAAGCGTAGTTTTCACTTTTCAGTTTCCAGCGTTCTCTTGTTACACATCGTCGTTTTCTTCTTCTTCTTCTTCTTCTTCTTCTTCAATGCTTTGATCTTTTTCTCTCACACAGGTACATCTCATGCTCTTTTATTTGATCAGTTCCATTTGCCTATAAAAACTTGTTCTTAGTATTCTATGACATTTTTCATGAAAAAGTTTTAAACACTTGCTTTTTGGGGGCTAATTTTAGCTTCTTCTGTTTTATTTATTTATTTTTTGATAATGTGTTAATTTCATTATGTAGATTATGAATTAGGTTTGTTGACGTGCAGAACTGATGAACGCATATGTATTGTCGATGATTTTGATGTTTGTTAATGAGAAAATTGGGATAGAAATTAAACCAAATTTTGGATGATAACTTAATGTGAGTGGATTTTTAAATTTGTAGGTATGTCTACCATCATTAGTATTGACCTGTTGCCACAATAAATAAATAAATAAATAAATAAATAGCTGTCACTTGCTTCTGCTTATGCGGTACCTTGTAAAAACCAACTTCTCTTCATACGTGAATGATGTATCCTTTATCCATGGGTTCCTATTTTGTATGACTGACTAATTCGTGTTTGAAGGGAAAGGCTGTGGGTTTTTTATGTTCAAAAAAGGAAATTGGGATTGATTGGAGACTGTTGTTGAGGCTTGAGCTGAGTAAGGATTGCTGATAATTGATCAGAACTTGGTTTTTGACTTTTTGTTTAACGTAGGAATGATTGTATTGTATATCAATGGTTGATACTGGTCTATATATTCTACAGGTACACAAGCAGTAGAGCACATAAATTTATGCAGAATTTTTATTTATTAATGACCATTATATTCAATATTTTATTAGCTTAGTCTCCACAAGTTATAGAGTGTAGGTCTACATAAGGAATTTTACCCTATGACAGAGTGTTTTCACTTTACAGGGTAGTGAGCTGGTCGTTCATGGCTCTCTCCTCCAAATTTCCACACCAGTTCAACCTCATTAGGACTTTTGTGAATGCGAAGGTCAAATGGGTTCAAGACCCATATCTTGATACTGCTGTCCTGAGAGAGAAAGATCTCAAACAGGCAATTTCCCTCAAGAACCAAATCATTTCATCTCCTTCCAAATCCCTCTCCATGTACACTGCTTCTCTGCTGAAAGCTTCCCTCAACCTTCCCACTACAACTACCAAATTCATTGACAAATATCATTGTGTGTTCACTCAATTCCAACCCAGTCCTGGTCTCCATCCTCATGTCAAGCTTACTCCTCAAGCTCTATCACTCCACAACGAAGAATTGGCTGTCCATAACTCTCTCACCAACCGTGAAGACACTGTTCAGAGGCTTGCAAGGCTTCTGATGCTTGCTGGCATGGCGAAGTTGCCTATATATGTAATTGAGAAGCTAAAATGGGATATGGGTCTTCCTCATGATTATGTTACGACTCTTTTGTCTGATTACCCTGATTATTTTGATGTTTGTGTTGTGGAAGATCCATCATCTGGAAAAGAATTGCTTGCTTTAGAGCTTGTTTCATGGAGAAAGGAGCTTTCTATGTCTGAGTTAGAGAAGAGGGCGAGCTTGGGCTATAGTGAAGATAAAAGAAGACATGATATTGCGTTTCCCATACTTTTGCCAAAAGGTTTTGATTTAGAGAAGAGGGTGAAGACTTGGGTTGAGGATTGGCAAACATTGCCTTACATTTCTCCATATGAAGATGCGTTTCATCTTGACCTGAACAGTGACCAGGCAGAGAAGTGGACAGTGGCGATTTTGCATGAGTTGCTTTCTCTTCTAGTGTCAAAGAAGACAGAGAAAGAGAATTTGCTTTGTTTTGGAGAGTGTTTGGGGTTGGGCTTGAGATTTAAGAAGGCTTTAGTACATCACCCTGGTATATTTTACATTTCCAATAAGATTAGGACTCAGACTGTTGTGCTTAGGGAGGCTTATAGAAAGGATTTTTTGGTTGAGAAACATCCATTGATGGGTATGAGATATAGGTACATTTACCTCATGACCAAGATGTAGAAGGACCTTTAAAAGCTGATTTGGAGGATTATCATGAAGTTGAAGCTTAGCTATTGAACCTGAAGTAGTTTTGAGTTCAAACTATCCAACACAGTAATTGCGTCTGATTTTCGAATACTGCTTATTAAGTTGTGTTCCTTTGAAATATATTGGTTGCAAGTTAAAGAGCAAATGTATGACAAGATTTCTCCAGCCCTTGTTTGACAAGATTTCTGCCCCACCAGCCTTTGTTATTGATTTATTGTTATTAGTTATGACTTAGATTAATGATGATTGTATCTTTAAGCTATGAGTAGTAATGATGAATATGTCTGCAGTTTTGAGTACTTGAGTTTTGAGCATCTGTGTATTAGAAATTATTTGCATTGTATTTGCTATTTTGGTGTAGCGGCCACTGTCTGATCTTCTACACTACTATAGCGTTTTTGGGGTCATTGCTATACAGGATTAACTACTTGCTACAATAGTGATAAAAAAGTAAATATTGGAGGTGTAGGAATTGACTGCTTTTGGAACTCAGGATACATGCTATTGAGTTTCTTTGCAACTTTAGAATGCCTAATTACAATTCATTTCTTCTTCTTGTGTTACCATATGAGGATAACACTGATATTTTAAACTAGCTAAGGTTGAACTCTTTATTGCTAAATATTGCAAAATAAATTAATAAGCCAACAGATAAATTTATATTAATCATATAACCCACTAGCCCTTTTGAAGTGGATTAGGGCAATGGGCTGGCCTGGCCCAGTCTATTTTGGTGGATCTAATATGAGTTTTTTATAACTTGTCTGAAATTTGCATGATTCCCTCAAACTTTCAGCCATATTTCTTGGGGGTCTAACTGCATGAATTGTGAAGGGAAATTTTTTGACTCATTTCATTCATCTTTTTCTTTCTCATCTATATATGATTTTACCAGTGCTAAAGTACCATGCTAAGTTCATTTGCTATTATTTGTGCAGCTAAAGTGCATGTGGTTGCAGAACATTAGTTTCCTCTCCTTCTTTTTGCATGGTATTGGTATTCAAGTGAGCATTTATCAAGCATGAAAATATTCAGTGGATGGCATCGTTTTGTTTTTGGTCTTCCTTTAATTTTCCTCCTTACTCATATGTTTTCTGGTGGGTAATCTCTTCACTTCTTTTTTGTAAGTATAAATCTTTCTGTTTGATGTATAAATGAGCTTTGCAAGTCAACTTCTTTGTCTTTTTATCAGTCATGGAGTTGCACAAGAACTCAAAAATGGAGGAACCCCACAAGCAACTAAGCAAGAAATTTGATCATCTGGTTCTTGGTCCTGCTGCTGGACAAGGCTTGTCAAATCGTTTGCATTGCCAAGGTTCTTTCTGTCACTTTATGAAATGATTTAAATTATGTTCTCAATTGTTGAAATGTTTTTGCTCAGAATGATGTGATTTCGATTGGGGTTGTCTCAGAACCTTTTATTGTGTCCAGTAATGCTATTCACATAAACCCATCACTTTAGTATTTGATAAATATGATAACTTACTAGCAACATGTTAGTAAAACTGAAAATTTTCTTTGGGACTTTACTCATTCAGCATTGACAAATGTTGAATAGGTATTAGTTTTTCTCAAAAAGGCTTGTATTAGAGGACATATTAGACATAATTTAAGGTTCTAAAGGATCTTTTAACATCTTTTTTCATTTTATGTAATCAAGGAAAAGAACGTAATGAACTGATGAAGAACATGAACAACAGAAACACCTAAGACTTGCATGCATAGCTTTAAGAGTTAACATCTATTTATGTTTCAAAGTCTTGTTGCCACTGTTATGATACCATGTCTGATTTTATTTCTTACATCTTAAAGTTGGGGATATTGGTAATACTTGAATATAAAATAATATGTTGTATATTGATCTGTGTCAGAGAGTTACAATATATAGAGACCCTAATGGGCTTAAGTGAAAGGCCCAAACCTAATCCTAATACAGTCACAATACAGTCAGAATATTTACGGATAAGACAGAATCCAATCATATCTAATCATATATTATATCTAATATTCTAACACTCCCCCTCAAGCTGGTGCGTATATATTATGAGCACCAAGCTTGTTACAAATGTATTCAACCCGAGGACCTCTAAGAGCTTTAGTGAAAACATCCGCTAGTTGATCAGAGGAGTTGACGAAAGCAGTCTTGATTTCTCCTGACTGAATCTTTTCTCGAATGAAGTGACAATCAATCTCTATATGTTTGGTCCTCTCATGAAAGACAGGATTAGAGGATATATGTAGCGCAGCTTGATTATCACAGATGAGTGTCATGGGTTGTTTCTGTTCACAAAGATGAAGCTCCTGAATCAACTGCTTTAACCAGACTAACTCACAGGTAGCATTTGCCATTGCATGATACTCAGCTTCTGCACTAGATAGAGCAACAACAAGTTGTTTCTTGCTCTTCCACGAAATTAAGTTTCCTCCAAAGAAGACACAATAGCCAGAAGTAGAGCGCCTGTCCGAGGGTGATCCTGCCCAATCAGCATCTGAATAACCACAAATTTCTGTATTTCCCTGATCTGAATACAACAAACTTTTTCCTGGTGCTCCTTTGATGTATCGGAGGATCCTCACAGCAGCATCCCAATGTGAATCACAAGGGGAATCAAGAAACTGACTAGCCGTACTAACAGCGAAAGAAATATCTGGCCTAGTCACAGTAAGATAGTTGAGCTTCCCAATTAGCCTCCGATAACGTCCAGGATCATATAACGGCTCCCCTTGTCCGGGCAATAACTTGACATTAGGATCCATAGGTGTATCAACTGGTTTACTCCCCAACATACCAGTTTCTTCTAGGATATCCAAGGCATATTTCCTTTGACAGATAGAAATGCCCTGTCTGGATTGCGCCACCTCAATTCCCAAGAAGTAACGCAGCTTCCCAAGGTCCTTTGTTTGAAATGTACTAAACAAATGCTGTTTTAACTGACGAATTCCGTCTTGATCACTTCCGGTGAGAATGATGTCGTCAACATAGACTAACAAATAGATACACTTATCAGGATATGTAATCCTATAAAACACAGAATGGTCAACTTTACTGCGGATTAAGCCAAACGCCTGAACAGCAGAACTGAAGCGACTGAACCATGCTCGAGGAGACTGCTTGAGACCATATAAGGATTTCCGAAGACGACACACCTTTCCAGACTCCCCCTGAGCAACAAAACCAGGTGGTTGCTCCATGTAAACTTCTTCTTGTAAATCACCATGAAGAAAGACATTTTTGATGTCAAGTTGAAGGAGTGACCAGTGACGAACAGCAGCAAGGCCAAGAAAGAGGCGGACTGACGCCATCTTAGCGACCGGAGAAAATGTATCGCTATAATCAAGGCCAAAGATTTGAGTAAAACCCTTGGCAACTAAACGTGCCTTGAGACGATCAATATGGCCATCAGGTCCAACTTTCACAGTAAAAACCCAGCGACAACCAACTATAGACTTCTCTGTAGGAGCAGAAACAAGGTCCCAAGTGCCATTGGAATGAAGTGCAGTCATCTCATCAAGCATTGCTTGGCGCCACCCTGGATGGGAAAGTGCTTCACCTGTGGTCTTAGGAATAGAAATAGAAGAAAGACTAGAAACAAAGGTGAAATGAGGTGAAGAAAGACGGTCATAACTCAAAAAGGTATAGAGAGGATAAGGGTTACGAGTAGTACGTGTACCTTTTCTTTGAGCAATGGGAAGAGTCTCTGATGGAGGATTCGGAGGGGAAGAAGCAACAGCAGTGGGCGATGAGTCAGCAAGAGTCGAGTTGACAGGAGGCACAGTTTTGCGACGCTGATAGGTGAGAAGTGGACGGTTCTCAGGTATAGAAGCAATAGGTTGCTCATCTGGAATAGAAGTACCTGCAGCTGGCAAAGACAAGTGAAGAAAAGGGACAGGAAGTACATGATCAACCTGTGACATCTGAGATGGGATAGAATTAAAGGGTTGTTGATCAAGAAAAGTGACATCAGCGGAAACTAAGTAACGCTTAAGGTCGGGAGAATAACAACGATAACCCTTTTGAAGACGAGAATAACCAAGAAAGATACACTGAAAGGCTTTGGATGTTAACTTATCCTTACCACGAGTGAGATCATGAACAAAACAAGTACAACCAAAGACATGTGGAGTTAGAGGATAAAGAGGAACATCTGGAAGCAATAGACTATGAGGAATGTCATTGTGGAGCACAGATGAAGGCATGCGATTGATGAGAAAACAAGAGATGAGTACAGCATCTGCCCAAAAGTGAAGGGGAACCTGCATATGAATAAGAAGGGTACGGGCAGTTTCAATGAGATGTCTGTTTTTACGTTCAGCCACCCCATTTTGTTGTGGAGTGTGAGGACAAGTAGTTTGATGTAAAGTACCTTGTGTGGCCAAGAAATTAGAAAAATCAATAGAAACATATTCCTTAGCATTATCACTACGTAGAATACGAATAGAAACACCAAATTGAGTATGGATCTCAGTAGAAAACTTTTTATAAATGGAAAATAACTCAGAACGATTTTTCATTAAATAGGTCCAAGTGCAACGGGAAAAATCATCAATAAAGGTAACAAAATACCGAAAACCTAAGACAGACAAGGTACGACTTGGACCCCAGATATCTGAATGAACAAGAGAGAAAGGGGCATCAGCTCGTTTATTGACTCGACTGGCAAAAGAGGAGCGTGTATGCTTCCCTTGTTGACATGACACACAATCTAAAGACTGAATACCAGACAAAAGAGGAACCATTTTCTGCAACTTTGAAAGACTTGGATGACCAAGGCGACTGTGGATAAGTTGTGGAGATTCTGTGAGAGAGCATGCTACTGAAGGACGAGGCACATCCAGATAATAAAGCCCCTGTGACTCACGACCCACTCCAATCATTTTCCTTGTACCCGGATCCTGCACAGAAACAGAATGGTTAGAGAAAGTAATGGTGCAAGTGAGGGAGTGGATCAACTTACTAATAGAAATTAAGTTATAAGGGATGCCAGGAATGTAATAGACAGATGTCAAGGCCAAGGTAGAGGTCGGACGAGCTTGTCCAATCCCACGAACTGGGGCTTTGGTTCCATCCGCAAGGGTAAAAGACGGTAAATGATCAGAATAAGTAAGAGATGTAAAGAGTTCCTTATTACCACAGAGATGATCGGTAGCACCGGAGTCAAATATCCAAGTGCCAAGTGATGTAGAATGAGAAACACAAGCAACAGGATTACCAGTATAAGGCTGAGACTGAGGAGAAGCCTTCCTGAGAGGGGTTTGGAGTGCAGCATAGTCCGAACCTGAACCAAATGATGCATTGTCTGACTGAGCTATATTTGCAACAATAGAAGGAGAGTTAACCTCCGAGAGATCAGGAGATGCTGCTGCCATTTAAAGATAAAATATAAAAGCCGTAAACGAAGGCAAACGATATCCAATCAAGAAGAACCACACGTCTAAGGTCAGACACACAGAGAAACAATCACAGATCCAGAAAGGGGAGGAGAAGGCGAGCTTCTCTGTCCAAGACCGGCCGGAAAAAGCCGCCGGAATAGTGCTCACGCGCCGGCAGAAGGTGGCGCGTGAAGCCCACGCGCAGAGAAGACAGGTGGCGCGTGACGGCGCATGGGAGATGCGTTGCCGACCGGACCACCACAGACCTGGTCGCCGGGAAGAGAGGGTCCTGATCGCGTGAAGTTTGGTCGGAAAAGTCGCCGGAAAAAGTCTCTGGTTGCCTGAACAGTGATTCTGACGGCGGGCGGTGGTTCCGGTGGCCGTCGGAGGTGCTGACGCGTTTGGAAAAATCACTCAGAGGCTGTTTACAGCCCTAGAAGGCTTGCCGGAAGGACGCACGGCAAGAAAGAGGACTCCTAAGCAGTGGGCTTAGGTTTTAAAGCAAAAAACAAGGTTTCTAAGCGGAAGCGAGGGTTCCCAGAACGAAAGAGCTCTGATACCAACTTGAATATAAAATAATATGTTGTATATTGATCTGTGTCAGAGAGTTACAATATATAGAGACCCTAATGGGCTTAAGTGAAAGGCCCAAACCTAATCCTAATACAGTCACAATACAGTCAGAATATTTACGGATAAGACGGAATCCAATCATATCTAATCATATATTATATCTAATATTCTAACAGTAATGTTCACTGTTCAGATAGTTATTTAAAATTGATTGTTACTCAGATTTTCTTGTGTTACTGTGGCATTTTGTTATCACAGATTGTCTGAATTTTTTTTTCTCTGTTTGGATTATTATCCTTTTATCATTTGATACCAACTTGCTCGGGAATCTTATTTCAACAAAGTGTAAAATTTCATGCCCAACACTAATCTTTTTTCACGTGACACGTCAAAATTTTTACCAACTTGCAATTTATACCATATGCCAAATTTTTTTTGGCACATGTTTGTGGGATTACCTTTATTTGTATTAATTTATTTTGGACTGCATGTTTGCAATTTCCTACTATTGTTTTTTGTTTGTTTATCTCGATACTGATGGTGTATGCAAGGAACTTTTTCTTTCCATACATTTCATAATTTAGATTAACTCGTAACTATAACTTCATCCAATAACTATTGCATTTGTGTATAGATTTTAAATTTAAAGGTCTGAATGATATAATTTTTTTACTATTCAGGCGGTATTTTGCATTTTACTCCATATCTTCATCTCCATTATCTTGTTTTGAATGATTCTTATAATGCATTTACATGTTCACAATTCACAGGGACAAAAGCTCTTAACAGGACTCATTCTTCCAACAGCAGATCAGGTGTAGATGGAAGTATCACAATTGTCACTGTCTTTACCATTTATAATTCTTCTCTCAATAATGTAGATGATAAATCATCGAACACAGTTGTTGGCAATGCTTCATACAATAAGGTGGACAGATCAATGGCTGTGTTGAATGTCTTCATTAACTTCATTCAGGTAACCATTGAATAAAAATTGTGGATTTGTCGCACTGCTAAGAATTTGTTGCTGATTTTTGTGTATATTGTTTCTTTACTGTGTATAGTGTGGTTAAGTGTGTGGTCTTTGTCTATCATTCAACTGGAAATAGTGGAATGCTCGTGTTCTTGAGTTTTTCCTATCTTAGCAATACTTGTTCTGCCACATGCACTCAAATGTTATACATCCATGTCAACCTTTACCTACTTATAAATTTTGATTGATGGGTGTTAGAATATCTAGAAGGTATTTTATAATATTATGATCATATCTTAAAATAGTTTATAGTATCTAAGATGATCTATTAGGATTGGTTTTCATATTTCCTCATATTTCATGATTTGTTTCCTTATTTTAGAATTGAGATATTAGTATATATAGGGGTTATTACTTTTGTCTTTTATATCACATCCTTCACAACAATATTATATTTTTATTCATTTTGCTCTCTCTATATACGTTAATCTCTATAATTTCAACAATGAGCAACAAGGGCAGCTTGACCGATTTAAAGGTGACTGGTACTGTACACCGCACAAACTGCATTGAGTTTGTATCGTGTAGGCCTTAGAATAAGTGACTCCCACCATTTGGAAAAAGAGAACAAACCATAAGTTCTTAGCTTGAAGCCTATATTATTTGAATTGTGTATTGAGTGATCGGAAATGTCCATTCTGCAATTAAAGAAGGAAATTGAGAAAAAGAAGAAGAAAGCAAGAAATAGAAAGAGAATGAGACATAAATTTATAATAGAAAAACAGAGAAGATTACTTTAATCTCACTAAATTGGTAAGGTAGAGTGGTGACTTTGACTAAAACATTACATGATATTGAGGCAAAAAATTTGCATAATATTTCTGAGCAGCAAGTTGAAAATTTTTTGCTTCCAAAATTACTGAAAGATGATGGATGTTTTAGCAATATTCCAAGTATGGTGAAGTGTAAGTTGTACCATTTTTAACCATTGCATTCTGCACCCAAATTGAATTATAATGGTCAATAAAACTGCACCCAGATGTCTGATATTTCTTCTGCCCATCAATCAAATTACTGTGTTATATTTGTTTTCCATTGTGTTTTGCATACTCAAATCAAGGCTTAATCTCTGTAACAGGTCCAAGTATTTGGCATTTAAGCTTTAAATGGATTCATATTTCATTTCACCTTGACCTCTTTTTCTGACAACTAAACCAGACACACATAATTCAACATTTGGTGTTGATAACCTCTGCAGGTGGCAATGCCCCAGAGCAAAATGATTATTCTCACAGATCCAGTGTCTGATCTCTCTTTGCGCAGAAATGGGGTTTCTCTATATCCTATACAAGGTGAATATTCACGAGACAAGTTGATGCTTCAAAGGATCAGGTCTTACATAGTAAGATCACATTGCATCCACAGTACATAGAACAATTTTTGGTGAAGAATATTTGCTCATCACTCATTGGTGACTACTTATTGTGAAATGTTTTTTCCCTCTCCCTTTATCTGTCCATCAATTATAATAATCAATACTATAGCTTCCTTTTCCCCAATCATGTGCATCAAAATAGATCAGAGGTGCTTGCTATATTTGTCATTCTTTCTCTTTGATATTATGTCTCCCCTATAGAGCTAGTAGTCTTGTTTTACCATTATTGGTGAAGATGATTAGAATCTTAAACTTTCAATTCTTTGAAATAAATAACCTTGTGTCTTCCTTCTTTACAGACCTTTTTAGAAACAAGACTTCAGAAGCTTTCTCAGAAGCCGAGGAATATCACTCATTACATCTTCACGGATTCTGATATAGCAGTGGTTGATGATTTAGGGCAGATTTTTAGTGACCATCCTCATTTTCATCTGGCTCTTACCTTTAGGAACAACAAGGCTCAACCTTTGAATTCAGGATTCATTGCAGTACGGGGTACCCCTGATTCAATTTTAAGGTGAATAAACTGTACTATCTGTAGTTTTAGTTTAATAGCAATTAATTCATATACTACAAAAAATTAAGAAGTTGGGGATTGATTGTGTAGTTGGCTAGTATTTATTCAGCTTTCACTTTGTGTTAAGCATGACATGGACTTATCTTTGTTTAGATCACGTACTTGACCTGCAACTAATTGCTGGGCATGCTCATTTCAGGTTTCTAGGGAGAAGAAAAACAATGTTCTTTGGTATTTAATTATGATCCATTGTTAAAAAATTTTACGCAACACTCACTGTGTATGAACCATATGACGCTTCCTATTTAAGACCCGCAAATGAAAAACTTCGGTGGTTGACTAACTTATACAGTATGATGTTTTCTTGTTTACTGATGGTGTAAAGATTATTACAAGGAAAGAACACTATTTTGATGCCACCATTACAATGTCTCCTCCATGGTAATTAAAATCTCGATTTATTACTATAATTTTACGTTTTTACGTTTTTTTCCCCATCAAACGATTTTACCAATATTCCAAAGGCTTTTACGCCTTTACGATTTTTTTAATGTTACGATTTTACGTTTTATGTTTTTTTATCCCCCTTCCGATTTTATGTAAAATCTCGATTTTAAGTACCTTGGTCTCCCCTGAATACTGTTGACATTGATATAATTGCTGGAAAATAGTGAGGAGTTTTGAATTACTTTTCTTGCTAATTGCACTTTGGGTAACATTGTCCTACATAGATGTACATGCAAATACTTATTATATGCTTCTTTGGTCATTTGCAAGCGGGTACTACCATTGGTATCATGATTTTTGTTTGTCATTATTTTCTGGATTAGATTTCTCCACTGAGCATTGATTGAAAATGAGTAAATTGTTTTCAATTTCTTGATTTATCCCCCACCTCCTTTTTTATGGTATCTAATTCTTGAATTTAATTTGAGAATTAATGCAGGGCAAAACTTTTCCTACAAGAGGTTCTGAAAATTTACACCTCAAAATACATAAATGCTTCCCGCATGCTAGGTGATCAGTTAGCTCTTGCTTGGGTTGTGAAGTCAAAACCTTATTTTGATGCCAGCAGGTTTGCCAAAGCACTTGCTTTCTCTGAAGACATTGGCGGTACTTCAGTATTGTTCTTACCTTGTGCCCTATATAACTGGACTCCGCCTGAGGGTGCTGGTCAATTTCATGGCATGCCATTGGATGTTAAGGTACAATGCAGACTTACAACAGCAGTATTTCTATCGCTAGCTGAATTCTTGGAAGCTAGATTTGGAAGTTTGGTTCTGGAAAATTTTGTAAGGTATATATTCTATTAGCTTTAAACATAATGTTCGTGGTTTATTTCTGGGATGCAGGTTGTTCATTTTAAAGGATCAAGAAAACGTCTAATGCTCGAGTCTTGGAATTTTTATTCCTCTTCTCTCAACATCGCTGACATGTTATGCCTCATTTTGGGAAGTGGGAGAACAAAATATGATTTTTGAGAATGTTCAGTCCTGAAAGATTATATACTGCAGCATCTCGTGACATTCATGGCTCCCTATTTTAGTGCAGAAAATGTCAGACAGTGATATTGCGCCAATACCCTTTATAATTTGTGATAGGGTACTGATAGCTGGAAACTAGAAGGCAGGAACTGGACTTGCTTTGTTCTTTTACTTAGGAGAGTTCTTTTCAGAAGATACAGTTTTGTCCCACTCCACCGTATCAGCATATGGAGTGTGATATTATTGCTTTTGAAATGGTACAGAGGAATGTACAATCTTCTGCAATTGGGAAAGACATATAATTGAGTTTGAATTGCTTCCAAATGACCCAGCTGGTTGGATTTTATTGCTGAACATGTATAGCCTATCGGAAGAGTATAGGGCAGTTAACATGTTGAACCACCCTTTCATAGTTGAATTACACTATTGAAGGTTTCTTGTTTCCGTATGCATGCGAAATCGGAAGAGTAAGGGGGCAACTGAAAATTGTTATTCTAATATTTCCACTGAACAACAAATTGTCATATAATCATTGATAGATTATCAACTTTCACTGTACAATCATATTGACATCTCTTATTTTTAGTCTACGAGATAAACTTCTTGATTCATCAATTAATGGAAATGAACACCATGAAAGGGCACATGTAATTGTGGCTTGGAACCACAAATTGCTTAGGCACTTGATGCATTGATGGCCCTGATTTTGAATAAGAAGGCAGGCATACTAGTGCTAGTGTTATTACTAAAATAACATCATGAGCATCTTTCTGACGGAATGGATAGGGGACGCGAGTCAAAGACATCAACAATCATGTTGTAACTAAACGTTCTGACTAGTGGATAGAGATATTAGCTTCTTTGGAGAATCGTGAAGTCTAAAGACATTATTTCTAATTAAGAAAAATATCACTAGATTGATTAAAGAAAATACCCCTCAAAAGCTATAAATATCACACTTTTCAGTCACGGTTATTATATAAGCTAATTAAAGAAAAAATTGTTACCAATACTAAAATTGGGCACGCCAAGTCTAATTAATCACTAGATGGAGAATCGAATAATATAATAGAGCTGACCTTGGGCAATTCATACTCGTGAGCCGAATAAGAGTTTGATTCGAAGATATAGGGTCAATAAATTTTGTGCCAAAATCCCAACAAAATATTGTTACCAAATATATCGACGAATAATAATTGGACAAAACTGATGCATCTAACAAAGCATGTACCTTCCTTTTAACAATATTCAGAGCCTGTTTAGCATACTTTTTTTTTAAGTTGAAGAAAAAAAAAACTTAAAAAATAAAGCTAATGATGGTTTTGAAGGAATGAAGATAAAATAATTTGTTATTAAGATGGATTAATAGGTTAAAGGATAAATTTTAAAATATAAGTTTAAAATACACGCGTTGCGACTTCGGCAAGTGCACCGGTCGTAAAAGTAATAAAAGTGTACTGAGTACGAGATCGTTTCCACGAGGATTGGTTTTCAAGCACTGGTTCGCTAACAACGATTTAGTTGGATAATCGAATTTGAGATTGAAAAGAATTAAAATTAAAAACAAGCAATAGCATTCAATTTCAGAATTAAAAGCAAGAAAGTAAAAAGATGAAAGTTTTGAAAATCAAGAAAGAGCGTAGATAAGGTTTCGACTTTTTCCAATTTCCTCTTTATGCTATGAATTAAACTATTAAGAATCTGCTCTTGATATAATGCCAATCAATTCTTTCTAAGTTAATTAGGGCTCAATTTCTTGTTACCCTAAATCTATGTGATCTTGAAAGAACTCTATTTCCCTGATTATTCTCCAAGAAAACATGCATTAAGATCAAGAATTTAAAGATTGCACAATTGCCCTATGTCTATCCCTAGATCATGTAACATCCCCGTCTCGAGCCGGTTCAATTAACATACACATGATATAAACAGAAACAGCGGAAGACTTAACTTACGAAAATATGAGCTAACTTTTTCTTTTTCTAACTTAATTCTTACTCGGCGTAAACGAAAATCGGGCAGAGTTTCCTCTATAAATCGGACAACTGGGGATTTTCCAATCTCACTCAGAAGCATTTCCTGATAAACAGTTTATACAACATATCAATTCAGAAATACCAGATATCCAATATAATCAAATACCCATACATGGGCGCATGCATAACTTGGCTCAGTGCCGCTAATCTAACAGCATGCAATCCAAGACATAAACATAACTGAATACTACATCATCATAAAACGTGCCTGAATACTCAAATGTACATGCATCAAACTGACAGGCATGTACAAAACATATACAAGCCATATACAAAATAAAGGATCAATGTCATGATCCATCAAAGGCGGAAATACAAAATGACATGAGTATAATTCCAAAAAGTAGTAGCCTACAGCCACTCAAAATCCGATCCGTCAACTGCCTCAGCCACGTGTCGTGTCCCTGCCTAGTGAGGACTCACCGGGAATCTGGGCACTTGAAAATATGTCCCCAACGAGGGGTGAGATTACAAATCTCAATAAGCTCCAGGTTTATAGAGAATTCTCCGTACCCCTGGCTCACTCCTGCATGAAAGTAAGATACAGAGTATACAAATACAACATATAACAGATATCATAACAGAACAGAGCATATATCCACATCATATCAGAGATGTGCGTCGTCATTCCCAAGGGAGGACCCCAAGCGGAAATCAACGCACGTGTTCCCGAGGGAGGACCCCAAAGCGGAACAAGACATATCAGAGGCGTACACCATCAGTCCCGAGGGAGGACCCCAAAGCGGACATCCGGGTACTATACAATCAATGGCCAGAGATTGTTACAGAAATCATATTACAGAAGTCATATCAGAGCAAAACATATCATGTTATCAAATAACTCTATATGAATGCATCTATACAAAGCATCTAAATCACAGTCATACAGTCCAACCATAGTTCACTAACCATGGTGGAGCACTCAAGCATGAAAAGACTCCTTAAACATAGAGCTTACCTCTTGAAGCTTTATCAATACGCTTACTTGTTGCACAAGTTACTTATATGTCTTCAAGAGATTCCGATCCTTTTTTGTCCCTAGGTACACCTAGAGCAAGAATCCACAAATCCAAAATCTATAAAATGTTATCATGGATAGATTTTCCATAAGGCATACATTTTATCGCTTATCTTCCTTTCTTTATATTTTTGCCAATGCTATGTCAATACACAAGTCTAGACCTCTTTATAACCGTTGGTGTTCTTTACTTTAATCAACCATTCCCTTAGGAATTTTCAACATAAATCATGCTATTTTTCTTCAAAACTCATCACTTTTATACAATTTATTACAACACATTTTATTTAAAATAAAATGTACAAAATATATCCCTAAATACCCTATAGGTCGAATCCTATAAGGAGAATTTCCAAAGATCCATCTCTTTTACAATACATTTTCTTTACTTCCTTACAACTTGCAAACACCTAGGCATGCATCCACTAGGTTCCTATTTTGAGTTTAGACACCAAGTCCTTCACAACACATCAAGGTATGTTTCCAAGGATTTTCTTTCCAATGTAATATTCTTACTAATTCATCCAAATTCTACTTACTTGAACACATAAAACCCCTCTTAAAGCATCAACTAAATTGGCACAATAAATCCTATTAACTCTATCAAAGGCCGAACATAGAGAGGAAATACATGATTTTTCTCTAATTTTTTTTTACATACTTACAAAGCTTCTTTTCATTTCATACATCAAAATATCAACTATTCCTCGTCAATACATATTTTAACACATCATGCTTTCCCACCCAAGGCATATACACAATTTTATAACTTAAATAATCAAAACAACATCATGTAAATAGAGGTTTGTTACCTCAAATCAACTACCCAAAGCCTAGAAGACCTACACCAAGAGAATCTTCATCAAAAACTTCATTTTGCCCTCTTGATGAATAGTGCACGAATTTGGGGAAGAAAATATCCCCTCACACAACCAATGATAGCTCAAATAAATGGGTGGGATGGATTCATTGAGTGGTTTCCAATCAATTTCTTGTGGTGGATCATTGGATTTGGTGGATGGATGATGTAGAAATCAAAGAAAGAAAAACCAAACCCTAAGCCCCCCTTGTCCAAGTGCAGATTGGTTTTGGAAGAAAGAGAAGAATGGAAAGCTGATGTGAATAGTGATCTTTAAAGTGACAAGGCTTTATAACACATGTGACCTTTTAACAGATATTTTTCTTTCGCGTATTTTCACTTAGACTGACCCGGAACTAACTCAAAGCTACAAACATATTTTTATTTTCTAAAATCATTTACATTAATTTTTATTTCCTAAGGAACAATATTCATAGTTCACAGTATGGTTTTTGCACCGTTTTTGACGAAATGCATTGTGCATCACTAATTGTACTTCATTTACTTATGAAACTTAAAACTTATAAACTTATCATTTTCTTGGGTCTATATTGACTTGCTTGGCATATATTGGACTTTCTTATTCTTATTTCATCAATTATTTATTTCTGGACTCTACCGGTTGCTTAAACAACAATACAAAATACCCGGTAGAAACACTATTCACGAGATTTTCACGGAAAGTGCCAGACTATACAACTTTTCGTTCTGAACTCATATTTGTCGTCAGAATTATCAAATTATGTCTCTAAAATTATTTTTCTCTTTTAAGCTCTACCGGTTAATTCACAAAACTGTAAATTCTCCGGCAGAACGCACTGTTCATAACATAGTCATGATTACAGTCAAAATACTCGGAATCACTCACTGAATCTAATTATGACATTTAAATCCTTAAATTAAATCTCTAATTAAGATTTACCATTTAGGGTCATTATATTCACCCCACATTTTAAAGATTTTGCCCACAAAATCAAATACGAAATATCACACATACCTGATGTCAAACTCAGGATACTTCTGGAGGATTTCATTCTCCCGCTCCCAAGTAGCGTCCTCAGGAGTCAATCCTTCCTATTGCACCTTGATCATGGGAATAGTCCTGTTTCTCAACACTTTTTCATCACGAGCTAGAACCTTCAACGGTCCTACAACAAATTTCAAGTCTTTCCCTACTTCAATATCGTCCTGCTGAACAATGTGGGACGCATCAGGTACATATTTGCGAAGCTGACTGATGTGAAAAACACTATGCAGATTTGACAGATGTGGAGGTAAGGCCAGCTGGTATACCACAGGTCCGACCCTCCTTATAATCTGGTAGGGCCCAATGAACCTAGGACTCAACTTCCTCACTCCTAGAGCACGCCCAACACCCGTAGTCGGAGACAAACGGATAAATACATGATCCCCTTCTGAAAATTCAAGGGGTCGATGCTTTGCATCATAATAACTCTTTTGGCGACTCTGTGCTTTCTTCAATCGATCCTTAATCATCATAATTTGATCGGTAGTCTCTTGGACCAAATCAGGCCCAAATAACTGCCTCTCACCAATTTCTGACCAAAAAGTAGGCGCCTTGCACCTACGGCCATACAAAGCTTCATAGGGAGCCATGCCTAAACTGGCATGATAACTATTATTGTAGGAAAATTCCACCAGAGGAAGATATTTATCCCATGAATTTCCCTGCTCTAAGGCACAAGCCCTCAACATGTCCTCCA